TCAGGTAAAAGTGGAACTGTACAAATGTCATCTTTATGATAGTTTTCTAAAACATATGATTTCAAAATTAGACTACATACCGTCTGTGCTATGTAAAGCACATATCATTTGGAACCACTTTGAAGGAATCCATGCGAGAATTGTGCTTCTGTTTCATATGGGTGCTTGACCTTCACCGCAAGCTTCTTCTAGGTAAAAGGGCAAAGCGGCCTCCTTAAAATGATAAAACTCAGAGGAGGAGAATTGTTTATTTTGGAAAGGAATGAGGTTCTGAACAAAGATGGTAGTCTATGAACTTCGACCTATGCTATACACAAAATGAGGACTTATTTGTGAACCATATCTTTTCTTATCCTCCGCACATCATACTTGAGCCCTTTTCACAGTATATCCCATCTGCGTCTTTTACTTCCTTTTTGGGCATTGGTTTTTTCGTACATGTGAATAGATCTGTTTTTGTTGTTGCTATTTATTGGCATAGAACTGTTTCCATTTTATCTGATTGCTTCAAGGGATGGATTAAGTTAGTGAACGGGAGAGACATGTGCATATCATCGGTTGATAAAACCCTCATTTTCACATTTTGCAGTTGTGAAGTAGTGAAAGAAAATATTTTCAAGGTTCATTGAAGCTGATCACCTTTTTAAAAGAGATTTTCCGTGATGCACCAGTAGTTTTGTAGAATATGATATATGGCTGATGCAATTCTTAGTGCTTACTATTCAAACTCTGACAAGTATAAGATGTTCATTTTTCGTTAAACCATCCATGTTATATATCCGAGGACAAAAATATAGTGGCTATTGATTGATCTGAATCATTATTATTTATTAGCATATTCTTGCAGTGAATTATGGTTTATATTGATCCAAAAGTTTTCATTCCTTATTTCTTGGGTGACCAGGTGCGAGTTCAATCTGATCCTGCTGGCCGTCTGGTCATAACTGGTCAGCCGGAGCAACTTGACAACCCTTGGGGTATTACCGCCTTCAAAAAGGTAAGTTTTGCTATTTTATTGATCTACTTCAATATGAATTCTCGTTCTACAACTATCATGAGTTTGCATCATCTGTGCCTTTTTGCTGGAAGTCTAAGACTGACCATATCTAGGAAAAGAGAAGCTAGTGCGTGTTTGTGCCAAAGAGAAGACGGAAAAAAAAATTCTTTGTTCAAGTTCCTCCATAATTATTTCTTTGAATGGAGTCCAATTTTTTTCAGAAAAAGAGAGCTATTTACTTTTCTGAGATAGCGGATATAAGCTAAATGCGGTTCCAATTTATAAATGGCTTCCCATCTTTCTTACTGGTGTGAATGTCATGTTCACAGAAAGAATGGTCTTTTTCTATTTTAGTATCCCTTTTATTGGCATGGGAGAAATATTAAAGGTAAGTATAACCAACAAGTGCCTATGAGGTTTTCGGTTGTTCAGTTGCTATATGTTTAATCAAACCAAATGATATAATCTTGGTCTTGTGATATCCAAACTATACATTGAGATGGAAATACTTGTGTTATTTTTCAATTCTGATGAAACAAGGAGTATCCATTTATGACTTGCATTGGTTTTCTCAGGTAGTAAGCCTGCCAGCTAGAATCGATCCTCTTCAGACTTCTGCTGTTGTTAGCCTCCATGGACGGCTCTTTGTTCGTGTACCATTTGCATAGTGAAATATTTGACTCAAAGAGGGAGTTCTGAACATTTGGCTGAACTTGATTGACAAAGGATGGATGCTGATAGTTGACCAACATTGATAGTCAGATTGTGAATGCTAGGGCCTTAGATTGTTGGATCTGTGTATGATGATTAGTTTGATCAAATTAGTTGTTGACGTTCTGTGGGTCAAAATTTGACAGCAAAAGGAGGCATGTCCAGGTACAGCCCCCGCTGCGACACATTTTTTTACTCTGGGAATTTGCTAGAACCTTTTTGTTCTGAGATTAATATTGATACTTATTTATTTCTAGTTAGCATTCGACTGTACATCTGATGTCCAGCTTGACCTGAGGTCACTTATTTGCAAAGGTGTGTGTGAGAGAGAGATGGGGAGAAGACTAGCGTTTTTTGTTGAAAAATCAGTTCATTATACGTAAGATGAGTTAATGGTGTATAGACAAGTGAGGCTTGCTCTCGTGACTGTGATAAGTTTAGGATTCTAGTCATGATACAATTGGTCATCCTTCAAAATAAAAGAGTAAATTGTGGAGGGTTCAAATGGGTTAACAATGTCCAAGTAAATAGTTAGTGGTTGATTGTGGAGGTGCTAAAGTGTTTGTCCTGTGTCGTGTGAAATCAGTAAAGACAAAATGGAGTATTGATGAATTGTGAGTATGTGTTGAATTTCCATTGCAGATGTAGTCAGAGCATCTTATCAGAAAATTGCAGATATCCTTATCACATTCTCTTTCTCAATAATATCCATCCCAAATGTTGTTTTCGTTTTCCCCTCGTTATTCTCTAAACAAAGGTCCACCGTTCAACACATTGAATATAAACAAGGAATTCCATAAATTTAGTACGTTTAAAAAAGAATGACCTACTTTGACTTGAAACGAAATTTAAAAAAAGAAATAAGACTTTTTAATCTTGTGATTTTAAATTAAAGTAATGTTAAATGTATCAAAATGTTCTTTAATCTTGTGACTTTTAAACATGCCACGTTAAAAGTTAGTGTATCCAAAAAAGGAAAGGAGACATTCTTTTCAAAAGAGACTAAAAATAAAATTGGACATTCTTTTTGAAATAGAGGGAGTATAATTGGAATATTATTATTTCATGCACAACTTTAATTTTGCAAACTTCAAAACTCGTGAAGAAATTGAAGTTACGTTGTGTAGCTGACACTGCAATTTATGTGCTTATGTGTCATAATTAAATATATGATATATACATACAATGCATGCAGTCAATATTGATTCCTCGATGCCTGGTTTCTTCTTAACTTCTTTGTGATCTCAGTTTGATTTTCAGTTTCTCCAACATATTGGAGAACGCAACTCTCTTTAATTAATTAACTATTAATATCACAACGAGTAGATCTACTCTTTATGCTTGCCAGCCGTTAGCTTCCACTTACAATATGATAAGTATAACAATACATATCATAATGCACATATGTATCTAATCAATAACTCAAAAAATTAATCAACGTAACCTCTACTATCATACAAGCATATATAGATTGTACATTCTTCAACAAAAATTACGTATTGTTTGGTCTTTATTGTATCTCAGTTAAACCAAGACCAAAATCAAAGTAAGTATGTTATGGCCCATACCAAACTCCAGTGACAAAAGAAAAAGGAAGGAGCAACAAACAACACATATAATGAAGATTTTCTTCAGCAATATGATAAAAAACAGATGAGAAAGACAGTATGTCAATAAAAGATCAAGTTCAAGTCCAAACAAGGGATCGGTCAATATCTGAAAACTCACCCTCAAAGCTCTAGTTTATCTTTTAATACTAGTAATTTGCACCATTACATACGTAAATCTAAGATTACACCAAACAAATTATTCTAATTAATAAGCCAAGTGATAATAGATACATGAAAAAATCACATGAAGTTTAGACAATCAAGATGAGCATTGTTAGGTGTGATATATAGTACTTGTACAAACACTATATATTTATTTATTTATAAAGACATGAAATGCAAGGTAGCTACTCACTCACAATGCTTTGCCCTTGAATTGCAAATTTCTTCCTCATAGTAAATTATGATTGCCTCTCGCTTCAATACCGTTAGTGGAATTGAAAAAAATGTAGTGTACTGGCTATGCAAAATATTCCTATTATTTTCTGCACCAGCTACTCCACCGACTCTATCTTTAATCCAAACATTTTGAAATGTATTATAATCATATGAAAGCTAATTGAGTGGTAGTAATTATTAACACTCACGAAAATCATGCATCTGGTTCTCTCATGATCACTCTAACTTGCAATGCAATGTATATACTAAAATGGGGGCCTTTCATTTGCAGCATTTCCACCCCATCCAAGCAACTCAGCTGAGAATGAGTAATTATTATTCCCAAAAGCCATATTTCCACCTTCGCCAGTTCCAGCCTCTCCACCACCGGTTACTCCTGATGACTGTGAGGCAGCTGGCTGTACCTATTCAAATTCATACTAAGGCACTTTGGTAAAATATATACTGTATGAGAAATTATTGAAAATATTAAGCACACGAATAACTGGATCCACTCTTATTATATAACAACATTACAAGAGGCGTTTTAAATAGGGACTCACAAGTATAAAATACTTGTTTGTGTTCAATTTGGTAACGGTGTTCGATTATGGATATTAATTGAAATCATGTGAAATTCGTATATAGAAAGAGGGTTTATATTTTGAACCAATCTAGCTAGCTAATTGTTTATATGAAAAAACAAGTGAAACTAGTATAGTAATAATAATATTTACAATGTGGTATTAATTAATTATACCTGTGTAGTAGGGGCACCAACACCAGAAGCATTAGCATTAGCATTAGCATTAGCAGCAGCAGCATCCTCTTCCTCCAACGGAAGTCGTTCAAATACAGCATTAGCAAAAGAGGCAGCCATTAAAACGACCGGACCTGATGCCATCAAAGGCCCTACAACGGATCCTCCAACAACTTGTCCTTGTCCACCTGACAAAAATATAGAGATCCCACTGGAGCCAGGCGGTGCAGGCGGAGGAAGCACCGTACCTGAGAGGGAAAGTATCTCGAAACGTCCGTGAAGAGTGACTACAGTTGCAGCAGGGGAAGCAGGCTGACGGATGTTGACGTTGGCAACAGTGCCGCTACCACTAAGAATACAAACACCTCTCCCTCTCCGCCTTGCGTAATTGGAGATACTTTCCATGATATCAACATCCGTTGAAACTTCAAGCACGTGAGATCGGAGTGCATTAGGCGTATCTCTGGTCACGATTATTGGAGGCTTGGGCTTATTTTTAGATCCAGGCGGACGGCCTCTAGGCCGGCGATTTGAAGAAGTTCCTGGAGCTCCGCCTCCGGAACTTGCACCAGCATCACTGTCAGATTCACCGCGGCTCAATCCCAAACTATAATTAAAATCCATCTATTCTAAATTGCAACAGATTAATTATATATAGTGCAACCACAGAAATGGTTCCACTAACAATAGTTGAGTGTCAATCTATAAATCAATCAATCGGATCTAGTAAGTTGTCCAGTATTTGGCGGATCGGAAAAAACAACCTTAGATAGATAGTCTGGCTCTGGTTGAAGAATTGAAATGAGTAGGGAAGCTAAATAGAAAATTAATTAGAACACGGAGTACTAGTGTAGAACTATAGCCATCATCAGGATTTACAAGTAAACAAAAATGGAAAAACAGCAGCTGGTGGTCTTTTGCCGTTTTAAGACTTGGACAATTGGAAGTGGGTAAAAGATGCTAAATGTTGAAGAAGAAGTAAACAAGAGCAAGTTGCAAAAGAGAAAAGCAGTAGGAGGCCGAGTATTGAATAGAAACAAAAGGAGAGGAGATTTTTGAGGGCAAGTGGAGTGAGTATATATATAATACTATATATAATGGGATGTGCGGCCGCAGTCAAATCAGTCGCTGATGATGAGGTTCAACCCATCTTCCATCCCTAGCAATGCTTCTTTTAATATCATAATAATATTTACCTAATTAGTAAAATGGAGGAGGAAGTCGTGATACTATTTGAGTTATTAGTATATAAAATGATTAAACGTGAAATATTTTTCTTCTATCGGTTAATAATAAGTACATATGTTCGATTGATTGAAAGAGGTTAGTCATTTTGTAATTAACACAATGCCACCTAATAATATAATTAATTCAACAACCCTATCTATCAGATGGTCATCGTCAAATCAATAGGAGTAATATTCTTTTCTATAGTAGAGTGTGTTTTTTTCTTCTTTTAATTTTGGCTTTTATCATGTGATGCGACTTGCGAGTGAGTTTTATTTATTTAATAATTCTTCCCGGCCGTAGCTATATTTGATTAATAATAATAATGAGTAAATATAATTCTAGAGAAGAAATGAAGTTGGCAGTTTGTTTGTGCGTGAAGTGAATGGGCGGTGTGTGTGTGCATGACACGTATGAAGCAAACAGACAGAAGCCACGTGCGGTCAAAGTAGGCGACCGTGTGACGTGGTGTCAGCTGTTATACCCACGTGGTACTTGTTCTTTACTTGAAACATACAACCCCGCACCCTTTGCTTTTTTTTATTACTCCACTCCACAAATACTACACGAAGAAAGAAAGAAAGAATGTGTTGAAAATTGTAACATTTTATAGGTTTAGTTAGTTATTCGATCTTCAGTTAATAATTAATGAGAGTAAGTAGTCGGATTCTTGTATAACAAAACAAGGAAAGGTACTAACTAATGTCCCAGGGCCAGGGGGGATCAAATGAATGGATAGGGTCTTCTCTTACATCTCCAAAAAAAGGCAATAACATATAAACCAGAAAAGAAGTATACTACTCTAATTAGTACTACGTACTTGAGGATGGGGATGGGAGTGGGGGTCCCTTATTATTATTATTATTATTTAGGTTAAACATGAAATGGGAATGATGCATGCATCACAGCACATAATTTGAAACATATGGGGTGCCCTCCATTCCCATTTTTAGCACCTGTCAATCTTTAATCTTTAATATATACTAGCTCCCTCTCTTACCATTTACCTCGCTTTTTCAGGTTTAAACTACCAAGTTTTTTCATATCTAAATTTATTTTTATTAAAAATTTAAATTGGAACTAAGAGGGTATTACAGTCAACATGCAATAAAAGAAGACACGCCAACCCCAAGAGGTATGGGTTTGACAATGACTTTCCTTTCAACCCAAAATCATAATAAGAGGTTTTTCCTTTTTTTTTAATTATATCTCCAACATGTTCTTTTTATATATATATAGTATAAAAATCTAATCAATTTTTTCATAGGCCAAACATATAAAATTACTTTTAATATTGAATAATAGTGAAAGTCAAACCAAAAACCTTTATCTATGCTATAAAATAATACTCATCTTATTAAAAATTTTAAAGGATTAAAATGATATATTTTTATTTATTTAATTATATATTTTTTTATTGCCAATTTTTTTAAAAAAAAACATGTAACTCTGCTCGTCTTTGGAGATTCAACTCGTGGCTTTGTAGGCGAACCTGAAATTATGACAAACGTCTTTATATATGTCACAGAATATATTGGCTTTAGGTAATATGATATAAAATTCTCAAACTTTTTATATGCGTTTTCAGGAGAACAAAAGGATATTATTATTAATGATTATAAAAGAATAAATCAGAAGTAACAGTTACAATATTATTAATGCATATATAGAAAGACGACAAATAGTCTTTTAATAAAGTATATACTAAGGACTAATTATTATTTAATAATAATAGAGTGATGATATATGTTTGGTATATATATCCACTTTAGTTAGATTATATATTTAAACAAAAAAGTTGGGAGTAGGATATGCTTATATATATGTGTAGTGACTAGTGCCTCTTGTTTATAAAATGGACTTATTTGAGTTCCAAGCCAATCACGAAACACTCAAACTTGTTCTTTTCTCACTTAGAAAATGCCTATAAAATAAAGTAATGTTACTACTAATAAGAAATGCATATTAGGCCTTCACCAACTATAATAGCTTAGGCAATCACAGATTGCCATTTCACTCAATATAGTATAATATATAGTTATAATAATGTTAATTATATTAAACTGTGGAATCGCCGCACACTTTTAATTTATCTGGATATTTTTTTTAAACTTATCTTATTTAATTATTTCTTCATCAAGCAATCACGTCCACCTCTTTTTTCAGACCTCTGTAAAAGTAATAGAAGCTCTTTTTTTATTTGTTAAAAGCGTATTAGGAAGGAAGTCACTTATAATGTCAAATATATATACCTTAAAAAGATAGTATATATTACATGCTAAATGGTATAATCGTTAAGAATAGTATGTTCTTTTTCAAAAACTCGACCAAATAAGCTATAATTAATTCTTGTCACAAACAAAAGGTATTGTTTATTACATGCTATAATTAAACATTAAAGTACATTGATTTTGTTTCAACTTTTTTAATTTAAAAAAAAATAAACACCTATATATGGAGTATATAATATACTATTCTCGATCAACCAAATAAATCCTTATTCTGGGGCGTAAAGAAAATCTAAAGTATGACACTGTTGGGAAATTACCAAATAAGATGATATGACAGCAATATATATTATGTAATTGGGAAGTGACGTTAGCTAGCTAAGAAGAAAAGAATTAATGCCCTTAAACATTCTCAATATAAATTTTAAAAAGGATAAAGCAAGTTGCACTTAATAATTTAGTAATATCGCAGAAGTTAGATGCTCCTCTCCTGTATAATTTTGTTTCTTTGTCGGCTTGTTTTCTCAAATATTTATTCCTCTCCTTTTACCTTTTTCTCCATCATAGTAAAGTAATTAGTAGTAAAATTTAGGTTATTCTTCTTTCCTATAGAAGCATGTTTTAGGTGATATATATTTCCATTAACATAATACAATTGGACATCAGCTTCCATTATTATTTGCTTTACACCTACACAACTTATTCTTTCAATTGTTATAATGGGTTTAAGTTTAAGATCGATCCCTATGACCTAGGATTCCATTTTATCATCAATTCAATCTCCAATCCCTATATATACTTATATGTCTCGTATATCAATCATATTTCATCCGTTGAAATAGTCATGTCAATCTCACAAGAAAACTTTTAATTCAAACTAGTTTGCAGTTTCTAGATCATTTGTTTCCATACGGACTTAGCTAAACTAGCATTGATCCAAGAAATTTAAAAATACAATTTTGCTACATGTGAATTATGACGTCTTTATATTACATCCAACTATCCATCTCATTTTGTAAACTTCAATCATTACGTACAACTATGGATATAAATTAAATGTTTAGAAACAAACATAACTAAATTAACCATTCAAAATGATAGTATATGTCACACACAACCATCCTAGCTTTGAACAAAATAAATTTGTATGGATTTCTTTCATACAAAGATCTACTTGGTACAACATATACTGAGAGAGAGTTACTCACTCTTTTCTTGTGGCACATCTTACTTAGCATGAGCTCAATGCACTAGGCTTCCCTTTCTTTCTTTTGGACTGTTTAATTAGGACGATGGGACCATGCACAAGTCAAGATGTAACTCAAATTAGAGATATGATAATGGCACAAGCATTTATCAGATGCACAAAAGGTCAAAGTTAGATATAATGCGAATCTACTCATTCACTCACCTAACTGCATCAAAATTCAAAATGATTTGAGTGACATCCAATTCCTGACAAATTATTATCTGTTTCTTCACCCTTTTTTTCTCCAGTGTAGCTCACCTTAATTGCGGTGGTTAGGTAATTCCAGTTGTCTAATCATTCTCTCTGCATTTCCTTCAAAATTAACCAACCAGGTAATAGTTGTTTACCTCTGTAACTTCTTGACCAACAATGGCTTTATGCAAAATGTGAGAGGAGACATTCATAGAACAAACTAAACACGTATTAAGCTGAAAAGGTAACACATCTATTACCCTGACATTTCCCAATCTAGCTACTAATCAGAAGCAGTTTTAAGCTCAAGCAGTGATACACAAAAATATAACAAATAGAAACTCACAACAAAAAGAGCATGAAATTCCAATCTCCATAAACAAAAGGTCCACGCTTCCTCGTACAACAGGGAGTATTATAGTTCCCACGAAATTACTTTTGTCCTAAATGGAGAATTGGACCAGATAGAACATTCAAATCAAGTTCTAGCAGAGACTGAATCATAATATACTAATCTAACATATCATCAAAAAATAAGTTCCCAACATCCAAATTCTAAGGAAAGATAATTGGGTTAAGAGAGAACAAGGAAAACCAAAGAGCAGATGTCAAAAATTTAGAGAGTCAAAAGGAAGCTATGACCAACAATTCGGGAAAACACAGAGAGCATGATTTGGCTCAAAGACAATAAACCCAATCTATCACCACCATAAACACAACATATAAGCATGTTCTTCTATCTTTGACTTCAGATATCTTCTGCAGGATTGCAAAGGAGTTCCCACCAAAAACGGCCAACAATTTCATATCAGCAAAGTGCAGGACCAGCATTCAGCAAGAATGGCCTGTCCATTATATATCAATTGTTCTCTATGACTATTAGTGATAAGCTATTTGCAGCAAGCAGAAAGAACTATGCAATTAAGAAAATCACTGAGATTCTCATTACCATAAAGTTTTTCTTTAAAAAAAAACAAACAAAAGTATACAGGCTTTCGCTCTTTGTTGAGTGTAGATTTCAAGACTCTATAAAAGCTTTTTGCAATATGGACAAGCTTTATGAAGCAACTCTATGCCAACAAAGATGGTAAACACACAACCACCTAACATTCATACTTCACAGGAATGATTCATTATGGAGAACCCAGAACAATACCTCGTCAGTATCACAATCGATATGGATGGTGAACTGGCTGAAATCAGATAAGTTTAAGCAAAATTATAATAATGCCACCATCGTACGCTGTCCTTTCTTCTCCATTGCACATTTTCCTATTTCTTGCTTTGTCTTAGACAGTGTGACAACATCATGGTTTCGACAATTTAGTCAAACATCA